AATCGTTTAATTAAAGAGTATGTCAGACAACATGCAGAGGAGTGGCAGAGGAGGCAATGTTTTAGGAGCGAGCAGACGTGGCAGCAGAGGAAGGGGTCGAGGCAGCAGGCAGCACTAGTCGCAGCCAGAGGCCAGTGCTCCCGGTGTCATCCAGCGGTCGTGTCTCCACCGACAACCCTGCCGTCATCGATTGGTTGGCTCGGTCGTCTTCCTCTTTCCCAGGTCACCTCTGACACCTACAGCCAACGGTCGGTGGGTACGTCAGACACAACCGTTAGTTGGCATGGCCCGGGAGCAAGCCCACTGAAATCACGTGTCCTCTACCTGCCCCTGTCCTTTGGTGTTCCCTCACCAAGCGAAGTATCGCATGCTGTGGGCTCAGCCCCACTGTACAGTGAGGAAGAGCTAACAGAGGGCGGTCAGGAACGGGGGGAGACATCCGCCTCTTCAGCAGCCAGGCGAAGAAGTAGTGGCGAGGAGAGTGGCTCGGTAGCCGGTCTAGAGACAGGTCTGTCTCCTGACCCACACGCAGCCGAGGGGGCTAGTAGTGAGGCGGAGACCCTAATTGATGATGATGAGGCTGATCGCACTTGGCAGCCTCGTCGTCATCAGGCTATTGCTTCCGCATCATCAGGAGAAGAGGGTGGCAGCTTGGCAGCGAGCAAAACAGTCGGTGGGTTGCCCAGGAGGCAGCAGGGTCGCAGCAGTGTGTCAGTGGAGGCAAACGGCCACGGAGTACAGCACCAGCTCCACTGCAGCCTACCACCACGGCCAGTAGTGGTGCCGGTGTGCACGGAGGAAGCAGCAGTCAGCCAGTGAGGAGTATCGGGGGCAAAGTTTCCTACTCGGCGGTGTGGCAATTTTTTGTCAAGCCGCCCGAGGAAGTAAACGTAGCCGTATGTCGACTATGTGGCCAGAAAGTCAAGCGTGGCCAGGGGGCCCATGTTGGGACTACAGCGTTGCGTCAGCATATGCAGCGTCGCCATTTGGTGGCCTGGGAAAACCGTGATAAAGATACGGCGGTTCTGCCTGCCCCAGCCCCCGCTCCATCACCCGCTCCGTTACTTGCTCCGTCACCCGACGTCAATCGCCCTCTATCAGCCAGTCAAGGCTCCAACACCTCTGCTGAGGGGAGTTGTCGCTCGTTGGCATCTTCCGCTCGTTCAGATGCTCCTTCTCCTGCTACTCCTCTTCACGGATTCCGTCAGCAGTCTTTCTTGGAATCCGTTTCCAAGAGACAACAGTTTGCGAGCACGCACCCGACGGTGCAAAAGCTGAACGTCCTCCCTGTCCAAGTTGCTGGTGCTGCAGTCCCTCCCTTTCCAAAGTGGTGGACTCAGCACCTTTCCGAGAAATGATGGCTTGTGCCGCGCCGCGGTGGAGAGTGCCAAGCCGTCATTTCTTCGCCAAAAAGGCAGTGCCAGCCCTGCATTCACATGTAGAAGAGATGGTGGGCCAGTCTTTGAGCATGTCGGTCTCTGCCAAAGTGCACGGCAGCGCCGACGTGTGGAGCTGTAACTACGGTCAGGGACAGTACATGTCATTTACGGCCCACTGGGTGAACGTGGTGCCGGTCACAGCCGCACCAGCAACTTGGACAGGTCACGCCGCTTTTGCCTCCACGTTTGCACGTCCTTGGTCCACAAAAGATGTCCGCCTCTCTACCACCTCTTCTTCCGCCGTGTCCTCAGCCGCCACCCCCCCCCGTGCCAAGTCCCATTACCCGACCGGCATATCACATGTGCAGGGCGCAACGGTGTCACGCTGCTGTGCTGCACCTGGTATGCCTTGGCGAACGTAGTCACACAGGGGAGGAACTTCTGAGTGTAATGAACAGAGAAATCGACAGATGGCTGTCTCCGCGCAAACTGAAAATCGGAACCATGTTGACCGACAACGGAAAGAACATGGTGTCTGCTCTGCGTCAAGGAAGGTTGTGCCATGCGCCATGCATGGCTCACGTGTTCAATCTGGTTGTCAAGCGGTTCCTAAAATCCACCATCCCACTGCAAGACATCCTTAAAATGTCACGTAAACTTTGCATGCATTTCAGCCATTCCTACACCGCAAAGCACACCCTCCCTTGAGCTGCAGCGGCAGAACGGAATTCCACAGCATCGCCTGATCTGCGACGTTGCAACAAGGTGGAATTCAACCCTACACATGTTAGACCGCCTTTACGAACAGCGAAAGGCCATCACCGATTTCCTGATGTTACAAGCGGATAAAGGTACTCCCCTGTGTAACTTCGATGTCAGCCATTGGCAGCTCATGCGTGACACCTGCCGCTTGCTCAGGCCCTTTGAGGAGGCCACGCTATTCGTGAGTCGGCAGGACTATGGGATGAACGACGTCATTCCTCTGTTGCACGTCCTGGAACAAATGCTGTTAACAATGGCTGGTCAGGGTGCGGTAGACGTGGCGCACAGATCTCAACGCCACATGACCCCTGTGGGGGCAGGACAGGAAGAAGAGGAGGAGGTAGAGGAGGACATTTGTGCTCAGGAATTATTGAGTGAAATGGGTGGTTTTTCCACTCAGCGGACAGGAGTGGAGGAGCAGGAGCATCTGGTAGAGGAGGAGGGAGGAGGAGACAGAGGACCCAGACGCACCGTGGCAGTATGCTGTGGAGATGGAGGCAGGGAGTCCCTCGCATTCCTTGGCACAAATGGCCCATAGCATGCTCGGTTGCTTGCGTAGCGACAGCCGAATAATAACCATCAGACAGAGGGATGACTTTTGGCTGTCCACCTTGTTGGACCCTCGCTACCGTTCAAAAATGGTGGCCTTTTTCACACCTGCTGAGAGGGAGGCCAAAATAACGTACTATAAAAACCACCTATGTAGTCAGTTGGTCTCTGCCTTTTGTGCGCCAACGTCCATCCTCAGACACTGTGGGCCCTGTGCGCTCGCGTTCCGCTGCCATGGCAGCAGGGGAGGGGTGGGGTGGTAGGAGCAGTGGCAGCTCCACCAGCAGCGGCTGCCTCAGTCTGCAGTCGATGATGAGTAGCTTTCTTCACCAGCGCAGTGAGGAAACTACTAACCAGCCGCAGCAGCAGCAGCATCAGGTGGACCTGGAGCAGGACCTCAAACAACAACAGGCTTGGGCCTACTTGGACAGCACCCTGCTGCCAACCGAGGTAGACAATCCCCTTGACTACTGGGCAACGAAACTTGACCTTTGGCCCCAACTAGCTGAATTTGCCCTTGAAAGGCTGTCATGCCCGGCCAGTAGCGTGGCATCGGAGCGCGTGTTTAGTGCGGCAGGAGGTATTGTAACTCCGCGGAGGACACGACTGTCCACCCAAAGTGTGGAGAGACTCACGTTTGTGAAAATGAATCAGGCGTGGATTAGTCTGGATTTCAAACCACCAGTTCCTGACACAACTGACTAAATCCGCCATGAATCATGCCCCAAACATGTGCCACTTTCAGGTCTCCTCACACTGCTGGTGTGTTCCATTTTTTGTCATAGGGTGCTGGCAGATTACGGGCCTCCCATAGCTGCTGCCAGGCCCCTAATCTGCCATGGGCCCCTATACCGCCTCCTCATCCTCATGCTGCTGCCAGGTCCAGAGTCTCTCATGGGTCCCCTGTACGGCCTCCCATTGCTGCTGTCTCCATCGCCACACTCTGCCATGTGCCACTTTCAGGTCTCCTCACACTGCTGGTGTGTTCCATTTTTTTGTCATAGGGTGCTGGCAGATTACGGGCCTCCCATAGCTGCTGCCAGGCCCCTAATCTGCCATGGGCCCCTGTACCGCCTCCTCATGCTGCTGCCAGGTCCAGAGTCTCTCATGGGTCCCTGTACGGCCTCCCCCATTGCTGCTGTCTCCATCGCCACACTCTGCCATGTGCCACTTTCAGGTCTCCTCACACACTGCTGGTGTGTTCCATTTTTTTGTCATAGGGTGCTGGCAGATTACGGGCCTCCCATAGCTGCTGCCAGGCCCCTAATCTGCCATGGGCCCCTGTACCGCCTCCTCATGCTGCTGCCAGTCCAGAGTCTCTCATGGGTCCCTGTACGGCCTCCCATTGCTGCTGTCTCCATCGCCACACTCTGCCATGTGCCACTTTCAGGTCTCCTCACACTGCTGGTGTGTCATTTTTTGTCATAGGGTGCTGGCAGATTACGGGCCTCCCATAGCTGCTGCCAGGCCCCTAATCTGCCATGGGCCCCTATACCGCCTCCTCATGCTGCTGCTGCCAGGTCCAGAGTCTCTCATGGGTCCCTGTACGGCCTCCCATTGCTGCTGTCTCCATCGCCACACTGCTCTGCCATGTGCCACTTTCAGGTCTCCTCACACTGCTGGTGTGTTCCATTTTTTGTCATAGGGTGCTGGCAGATTACGGGCCTCCCATAGCTGCTGCCAGGCCCCTAATCTGCCATGGGCCCCTGTACCCTCATGTGCTGCCAGGTCCAGCCTCCTCATGCTGCTGCCAGGTCCACAGTGTCTCATGCCATGCCATGTGCCACTTTCAGGTCTCCTCACACTGCTGGTGTGTTCCATTTTTTGTCATAGGGTGCTGGCAGATTACGGGCCTCCCATAGCTGCTGCCAGGCCCCTAATCTGCCATGGGCCCCTATACCGCCTCCTCATGCTGCTGCTGCCAGGTCCAGAGTCTCTCATGGGTCCCTGTACGGCCTCCCATTGCTGCTGTCTCCATCGCCACACTCTGCCATGTGCCACTTTCAGGTCTCCTCACACACTGCTGGTGTGTTCATTTTTTGTCATAGGGTGCTGGCAGATTACGGGCCTCCCATAGCTGCTGCCAGGCCCCTAATCTGCCATGGGCCCCTGTACCGCCTCCATGCCTCCCAGTCCAGAGTGCTCTGGGTCCAGGCCTCCACAGTGCTGCTGTCTCATGCCATGTGCCACTTTCAGGTCTCCTCACACTGCTGGTGTGTTCCATTTTTTGTCATAGGGTGCTGGCAGATTACGGGCCTCCCATAGCTGCTGCCAGGCCCCTAATCTGCCATGGGCCCCTGTACCGCCTCCTCATGCTGCTGCCAGGTCCAGAGTCTCTCATGGGTCCCTGTACGGCCTCCCATTGCTGCTGTCTCCATCGCCACACTCTGCCATGTGCCACTTTCAGGTCTCCTCACACTGCTGGTGTGTTCCATTTTTTGTCATAGGGTGCTGGCAGATTACGGGCCTCCCATAGCTGCTGCCAGGCCCCTAATCTGCCATGGGCCCCTGTACCGCCTCCTCATGCTGCTGCCAGGTCCAGAGTCTCTCTCATGGGTCCCTGTACGGCCTCCCATTGCTGCTGTCTCCATCGCCACACTCTGCCATGTGCCACTTTCAGGTCTCCTCACACTGCTGGTGTGTTCCATTTTTTGTCATAGGGTGCTGGCAGATTACGGGCCTCCCATAGCTGCTGCCAGGCCCCTAATCTGCCATGGGCCCCTGTACCGCCTCCTCATGCTGCTGCCAGGTCCAGAGTCTCTCATGGGTCCCTGTACGGCCTCCCATTGCTGCTGTCTCCATCGCCACACTCTGCCATGTGCCACTTTCAGGTCTCCTCACACTGCTGGTGTGTTCCATTTTTTGTCATAGGGTGCTGGCAGATTACGGGCCTCCCATAGCTGCTGCCAGGCCCCTAATCTGCCATGGGCCCCTGTACCGCCTCCTCATGCTGCCAGGTCCAGAGTCCAGGTCCCTGTACGGCCTCATTGTGCTGTCTCCATCGCCACACTGCCATGTGCCACTTTCAGGTCTCCTCACACACTGCTGGTGTGTTCCATTTTTTGTCATAGGGTGCTGGCAGATTACGGGCCTCCCATAGCTGCTGCCAGGCCCCTAATCTGCCATGGGCCCCTGTACCGCCTCCTCATGCTGCTGCCAGGTCCAGAGTCTCTCATGGGTCCCTGTACGGCCTCCCATTGCTGCTGTCTCCATCGCCACACTCTGCCATGTGCCACTTTCAGGTCTCCTCACACTGCTGGGTGTGTTCCATTTTTTTTGACATAGGGTGCTGGCAGATTACGGGCCTCCCATAGCTGCTGCCAGGCCCCTAATCTGCCATGGGCCCCTATAACCGCCTCCTCATGCTGCTGCCAGGTCCAGAGTCTCTCATGGGTCCCTGTACGGCCTCCCATTGCTGCTGTCTCCATCGCCACACTCTGCATGCCATGTGCCACTTTCAGGTCTCCTCACACTGCTGGTGTGTTCCATTTTTTGTCATAGGGTGCTGGCAGATTACGGGCCTCCCATAGCTGCTGCCAGGCCCCTAATCTGCCATGGGCCCCTGTACCGCCTCCTCATGCTGCTGCCAGGTCCAGAGTCTCTCATGGGTCCCTGTACGGCCTCCCATTGCTGCTGTCTCCATCGCCACACTCTGCCATGTGCCACTTTCAGGTCTCCTCACACTGCTGGTGTGTTCCATTTTTTGTCATAGGGTGCTGGCAGATTACGGGCCTCCCATAGCTGCTGCCAGGCCCCTAATCTGCCATGGGCCCCTGTACCGCCTCCTCATGCTGCTGCCAGGTCCCAGAGTCTCTCATGGGTCCCTGTACGGCCTCCCATTGCTGCTGTCTCCATCGCCACACTCTGCCATGTGCCACTTTCAGGTCTCCTCACACACTGCTGGTGTGTTCCATTTTTTGACATAGGGTGCTGGCAGATTACGGGCCTCCCATAGCTGCTGCCAGGCCCCTAATCTGCCATGGGGGCCCCTGTACCGCCTCCTCATGCTGCTGCCAGGTCCAGAGTCTCTCATGGGTCCCTGTACGGCCTCCCATTGCTGCTGTCTCCATCGCCACACTCTGCCATGTGCCACTTTCAGGTCTCCTCACACTGCTGGTGTGTTCCATTTTTTGTCATAGGGTGCTGGCAGATTACGGGCCTCCCATTGCTGCTGCCAGGCCCGTAATCTGCCATGGGCCCCCGTACCGACTCCTCATGCTGTGACGTTGCAACAAGGTGGAATTCAACCTTACATATGTTAGCCGCCTTTACGAACAGCGAAAGGCCATCACACTGCTTTCCTGATGTTACCAGCGGATAAAGGTACTCCCTGTGTAACTTAGATGTGTGCCATTGGCAGCTCATGCGTGACACCTGCGCTTGCTCAGGCCCTTTGAGGAGGCCACGCTATTCGTGAGTCGGCAGGACTATGGGATGAACGACGTCATTCCTCTGTTGCACGTCCTGGAACAAATGCTGTTAACAATGGCTGGTCAGGGTGCGGTAGACGTGGCCTCACAGATCTCAACGCCACATGACCCCCTGTGGGGGCAGGACAGGAAGAAGAAGGAGGAGGTAGAGGGAGGACATTGGTGCTCAGGAATTATTGAGGCCTGAAATGGGTGGTTTTTCCATCAGCGGACAGGAGTGGAGGAGCCAGCATCTGGTAGAGGAGGAGGAGGAGGAGACAGAGGACCCAGACGCACCGTGGCAGTATGCTGTGGAGATGGAGGCAGGGAGTCCCTCGCATTCCATGGCACAAATGGCCCATAGCATGCTCGCTTGCTTGCGTAGCGACAGCCGAATAATAACCATCAGGACAGAGGGATGACTTTTGGCTGTCCACCTTTTTGGACCCTGCGCTACCGTTCAAAAATGGTGGACTTTTTCACACCTGCTGAGAGGGAGGCCAAAATTAACGTACTATAAAAACCACCTATGTAGTCAGTGGTCTCCTGCCTTTCTGCTGCCAACGGTCCATCCTCAGACACTGTGGGCCCTGTGCGCTCCTCGTTCCTGCTGCCATGGCAGCAGGGGAGGGGTGGGGTGGTAGGAGCCATGTGGCAGTGTCCACCAGCAGCGGCTGCCTCAGTCTGCAGTCGATGATGAGTAGCTTTCTTCACCAGCGCAGTGAGGAAACTACTAACCAGCCGCCGCAGCAGCATGGTGGACCTGGAGCAGGACCTCAAAACAACAGGCTTAGGCCTACTTGGACAGCACCTGCCAGAGGTAGGGCCTCCCATTGACTACTGGGCAATGAAACTTGACCTTTGGCCCCAACTAGCTGCCCCTTGAAAGGCTGTCTGCCAGGTCCAGAGCGTGGCATGGAGTCGCGTGTTTACGGCAGGATTGCTATTGTAACTCCATCGGAGGACACGACTGTCCATGTGCCACTGTTCAGGTCTCTCACGCTTGTGTGTTGAATTTTTTGCATAGGGTGTCTGGCATTTCACGGGCCTCCATTGCTGCTGCCACAATCTGACTAAATCCGCCATGAATGCATGCCCCAAAACATGTGCCTCCTTTCAGGTCTCCTCACACTGCTGGTGTGTTCCATTTTTTCACACATCATAGTCATAGGGTTTGCTGCTGGCAGATTACGGGCCTCCCATAGCTGCTGCCCTGTAGGCCCCCTAATCTGCCATGGGCCCCTTTTTTGTACCGCCTCCTCATGCTGCTGCCCCGTAAACCGCCTCCCAGGTCCACAGTGTCTCATGCCATGTGCCACTTTCAGGTCTCCTCACACTGCTGTTGTGTTCCATTTTTTGTCATAGGGTGCTGGCAGATTACGGGCCTCCCATTGCTGCTGCCAGGCCCGTAATCTGCCATGGGCCCCTGTACCGCCTCCTCATGCTGCTGCCAGGTCCAGAGTCTCTCATGGGTCCCTGTACGGCCTCCCATTGCTGCTGTCTCCATCGCCACACTCTGCCATGTGCCACTTTCAGGTCTCCTCACACACTGCTGGTGTGTTCCATTTTTTGTATAGGGTGCTGGCAGATTACGGGCCTCCCATAGCTGCTGCCAGGCCCCTAATCTGCCATGGGCCCCTGTACCGCCTCCTCATGCTGCTGCCAGGTCCACAGTGTCTCATGCCATGTGCCACTTTCAGGTCTCCTCACACTGCTGTGTGTGTTCCATTTTTTGTCATAGGGTGCTGGCAGATTACGGGCCTCCCCCCATTGCTGCTGCCAGGCCCGTAATCTGCCATGGGCCCCCGTACCGACTCCTCATGCTGCTGCCAGGCCCGTAATCTGTCATGGGCCCCTGTTGTTCGCTTGTTGGCATATTCCGCTCGTTCAGATGCTCCTTCTCCTGCTACTCCTCTTCACGGATTCCGTCAGCAGTCTTTCTTGGAATACGTTTCCAAGAGACAACAATTTGCGAGCACGCACCCGACGGTGCAGAAGCTGAACGTCCTCCCTGTCCAAGTTGCTGCTGCCAGGCTCGTAATCTGTCATGCGCCCCTGTACCGCCTCCTCATGCTGCTGCCAGGTCCAGAGTGTGTCATGGGCCCCCGTACCGACTCCTCATGCTGCTGCCAGGCCCGTAATCTGTCATGGGCCCCTGTACCGCCTCCTCATGCTGCTGCCAGGTCCAGAGTGTGTCATGGGTCCCTGTACGGCCTCCCATTGCTGCTGCCAGGCCCGTAATCTGCCATGGGCCCCCGTACCTACTCCTCATGCTGCTGCCAGGCCCGTAATCTGTCATGGGCCCCTGTACCGCCTCCTCATGCTGCTGCCAGGTCCAGATTGTGTCATGGGTCCCTGTACGGCCTCCCATTGCTGCTGTCTCCACCGCCACACTGTGGCTCCACACTCTGGTTTTGGCCCCGTGACTGCCCAAATGAGTGAAGTGTGCGGTGATTCTAAGATCGACGGCACTCATCTGCATGTCATACTGACTGACAGTATTATTTCTCTTTCCCAGCAGACTCCAAGGGCATTTAAATTAAAGGTACAGTGTTCTGCACTAATATAAAGGCTCTCTGAAGCCTAGAAACACCCTTTTATAAGTTAAATTCGCAGCGAATATATTCGACTCGAATCGAAATTTTTACACGAATTCGCCGAATCAGTCGAATCGAATTTTTGAATACTTCGCTCATCTCTAATTGTGATAATACAATATTTGCAAAATTATCAGAATTTTCTTGTTTATTTTTCAGATCAATTTTGTTTTCTTATTCAACATAGTCAGAATATTAATGACGAAGTTAAGAGCGTCTACCACCTCAGAGACCATACAGTACAGGTAGGTGTGTTCTATACCGGACTCCAAGGCTTTGTTTACACTGTTGCGATCTTCAGTCGCACAGAATCGTATGACAATGGAAATCACATTGTTTTCAGGGGTGTCCATTCACATCAATGTAATGCTCCCGCAATGCAACTTTGGGGAAGATGTCTGTGCTACTTTGCTGCAATGCAGTGCAATTTTATGCTCCATAGAGTAGCACCAAATGACCATTAACCACCTCCCATCCGGTCGTTGTATATAAACAGACACAGTGGAACACCGATCGTCGTATGGGACCTCTGTGTGAGGTTCCGATCATGTGATCACTGATTGGCCAATCAGTGATCACATGAATAGTAGTAAGCAAGATGTCACTTCTGACATCATTGCTTACTACGTGTGAAATCTGTGAACGATCACAGAGGTCACATGGTACAAGACTATTCACAACAGCCTTGTACCATGTGACAAGCTGTGACCAATCACAGCTCACACAGTAGTTCTCAATTTCTGCAAGAATGCAGCCAGAGAGAAGGAGAAATGATTGCTTTTACAGCCTTTATGGGTGTAAAAGCAATCAGTGTAAAAAAAAAAAAAAAAATCTTCAGCACCCCACAAGAAGTACAGTGTCACCATGGTGACACTGTACTGCTAGGGTGACAGTATGTAAAAAAACAAAAAAAACAAATAATAATATAAAAAAAAAAAATAAAAATGTAAAACAAATGTTTAAAAATTGTAATTTTTGGTTATAAACTAATTTGGGATATTTTTTTTTTTACTAAAAATATAACGGAATCAATTTTGGCCAAGATTTATGATGAAATATTATTTATTTGCAAAATTTTATAAAGAAAAACACTTTTTTTTCAAAGTTTTTGGACATTTCATTTACATAGCAAAAAAAAAAAAAATCCCAGTGTGAATAAATACCACCAAAATAAAGCTTTATCTGTCTCAAAAAAATGCGCTAAAAAATTCATATGGATACAATGTTGCATGACCGCGCAATTGTCATTCAAAGTGTGATAGCGCTGAAAGCTGAAAATTGGCCTGGACAGGTAGGGGGTGAAAGTGTCCGGACTGGAAGGGGTTAATGTTCAGTATAACTGTTCATTTAACATTGCGGTCAATTGATTGTTTAATTTTTGTGTCTTGCAGGAAAGCAGTTAAAGCCACTCTAGTGCTCCCCCCCTGCTCGGGATAACGTACATGCTTTTCTTTGTGAACCCGGGAGAAGACGACGTCTCACAGATCGTCT